TGGACGGCATCACTGACTCGATGGACGTGAAGTCTGAGCAAGCTCTGGGAGTTGGTGATGGACAGGGAAACCTGGCATGCTGCAGTCCATGGGGTTGCAAAGAGTCGGACACGACTGAACGACTGAACTGGACTGAAACAGGTTGTGTGTTTTTTGGTATGACCAGTAGTCTCTATACCCCTGCTCTGTGAGTTTGGGAGGAAGGGCCATGCTTGGGTTTGCTACCATTATTGTGGGCTGCAAGGCCTCATGACTTCACAGCTGCTGTTTGCCAGAGCTGGGGCATGGCCCTCTGTCTTGCCTGTCACTGTTCCTCCCCTGGTGACCCAGAGGCCCCTCGCTCCAAGCTCCCTCTTCTAGGCGGAGGTATTCTGTGGGTTGGGGGAGGGTATCCCTGATTTTCCTTGTGCTTCTTCCTACAAACCTAACTGCTCCCACAATCCTCCCCAAACCTGCCACAGTCTCATGGGAAATAAAACCATCACATCCAGAGGCTGCCTCGGTTTCTACCACTTCCTTCCTATGAAGCAATGAAGCGCATGCCTGCTGGGGTGTGTTGATTCATTTAACGAATGCTAGCAGGCAGTGCGTGTTGTAACAGGAGCTCTTGTAGGGACTGGGAGTGCCTTCTTGAATAAAAATACAGAAATCCCTGTTCTTGAGCTTCCATCTGAGTGCAGAGAAAGGAACAATAGATAACCAATTTAAACAGGATGCTACCCAATGATGCGTGCTATGAAAAACAATAAAGCCAAGTAAGATGGGGGGCGGGGGTGGACACGGTTGGTGAGGGATACAAAAGGGATTGCAGTTTTAAATCGGGGATCAGAGTAGACCTCGCTAAGAGAGTGACATTTGGGAAAGAAAAGGGAAACTGCAGGAAGAAAAGCATGCATTAAAAACCACTCTGGGGACCTTCCCTGGTGGTCCAGTGGTTAAGAATCCATGTTACAAATGCAGGGGTCATGGGTCTGATCCCTCACTGGGAACCCTGCCCAGCAGGGCTAAAAAATTTTAATGGTTCTTTGTTACAGAATAAATTTCTGACTTTATGATTATTATTTACTTATTCAGCTGTGCCAGGTCTTAATCGTGGCATGCTGGCTCTAGCTCCCTGACCAGGGATGGAACCTGAGCCCCCTGAAGTAGGAACTCGGCATCTTAACCACTGAACCACCAGGGAAGTCACAAAGTCCTGGCTTTAAACATGGACCTCAGGTTGTTGGTGGCCTGGCTCCTGCTTTCCGCAATCTCATCAACACAAAGTCCACATCGTTCAGAAACACACAGGCACACTCTTTCTCCATATTCTGATCAACCTCCAGTGTGCATACTCCCCTAAGCTGCACAGCCCATGTATTATGTATATACTATACATTATGCTACTCATAGCATATATATATGTATACACACACACATATTTATATGTATATATATAATAGCAGAGGTTTGTGGAAGAACAAGGGAAGTTAGCTGAATAGAGCTACGTGGAAAACATGTAAAAATCCTAGCCATAAAGTATTCAACCCCAACCTCAAGCTCCCTTATAACTGTAGATCATCAGTATATGAAGGGGCAGTTAGAGGTCATCCATTCCAGAAAGGCCCAGAGAGGGATAGCAGTGCCCATGGGGTCACACAGCCTTATCTGCACATCAAAGCCAGATATTCTGCAGAAGTAATATTTTGTACACTTTTCATGAGACATCAAGTTCCTCTACTGAATCTCAACAGGAGAAATGACTGTTTGGATTTTCCCTCCACCAACTGAGCAGGCATGAGCTGATCTCTGTGGTAACTGAGACAGTACCGTCTTTTCTGACCTGGGATTCTGTCCTGTCCTGGGGCTGTAGGTGAGCACTGGAAAGACAAGGGCAGATTCTCTGCTGTTTCTCAGGAGAAGGGGAGCCTACAAGTACAGAATCCAGGAAGAATCTCTTGCCATGGACTGAGGCTTGACCACATATGGTGTTACCTTTATGAACTGGGATTCTGTTCTCTGCCTGGGCGCCAGAGGAGGGGTGTCTTTGGTGGTTCAGGAAGTAAAGGGCACTTTAGAACTTTAGGACTGCTATAATCATAACACACATAAGGAAGTGAGAATTAAGTGTGAAGTTCATCAGATTGTAACAAGGCCAGCAAAAATAGTCAAATGAATAAAGCTGTGTTGAAAATCCTTCAATGCAAGGTGGGGGAGTGCGTGGGAGCCTGCTGCTGTGAAGGTTAAGTCCTCTTATTTCTGTTGCCCAGGTGAGACCCAGAGAGGTGAGAAATTACACCCAAATCACCAAGCTCTAGAGGCCCAGATGCTTCAAGGATACCTCTTCTCCCCATTGCTTCCTCCACGGGGCCTGGCCCATCCCTGACAGCTGAGGCCGTCCCCCTCAGACCCCCTCACAGTGCTGGCCCCATGCTCTTCCCTGAGGCTGCCCAATCCCTGATTTCCCTTAACACTCACTATCTTTTAGACTGAGGCCCTTAGAAGCTGTGTGACTTTGCGCAAGTGGCTTGACCTCTGAAGTGGCTTCCTCTCATAGTGTTGTTGAACCCAAGTTCATGCGCCCAATGCACAGTGAAACCAAACCGACCGAAATGTCAGAGTTTGGAGCAGAGAGAGGTTTATTGCAGGGCTGGGCACGAAGAACAGAGCAGGTAATGCTCAAAATGACTCAAAATCCCTAACGGGTTTCAGGGAAGCATTAAAAAAAAGTTCTTTCTTTATTTGTCTGCATTGCATCTTAGTTACAGCATGCAGGGTCTTCCGTGTGTCGTTTGGGATCTGTCCTCTCTATTTGTGACACATGGGTTCCAGAGCACGGGCTGAGTAGCTATGGCATTCTGGCTTAGTTGCTCCGTGGTATGTGGGATCTTAGTTCCCCAACCAGGGATCAAACCCATGTCCCCTGCATTGCAAGGCAGATTCTTAACCACTGGACCACCAGTGAAGTCCCTTTGGGTAAGCATTCTTTTTTTTTTTTTGTGGGGCAGGGGAAGCATTCTTAAAGACAAGGTGAGGGAAAGGAGTTGCAGGGTGTGTGATCAGCTTGTGCACAATTCTCTGACTGGTTGATGGTGAGGTAACAGGGTGATGTCACAGGGGTCAACAATATTAATCCTCAGGCTCCAGAGGGTCTGGGGGTTACACACTCACGGTCATCTAATGTTAACTTCTTCTATTTGGTGGGTTTTAGCATCTGTAATGGAGAAAGCAATGGCACCCCACTCCAGTACTCTTGCCTGGAAAATCCCATGGATGGAGGAGCCTGGTAGGCTGCAGTCCGTGGGGTCGCTAAGAGTCGACATGACTGAGCGACTTCACTTTCACTTTTCACTTTCATGCATTGGAGAAGGAAATGGCAACCCACTCCAGTGTTCTTGCCTGGAGAATCCCAGGGATGGGGGAGCCTGGTGGGCTGCCGTCTATGGGGTCGCACAGAGTTGGACATGACTGAAGCGACTTAGCAGCAGCAGCAGCATCTGTAAAACAACTCAGGAAATTTGCATCAGATACTCTTATCTAGATACTTCAGGAAGGAATGCAAGATTCTGTGACTGCCATATGGCTGATTTATTTTTTAAGTTCTTACCAGTTTCTCCTGGCTCAGCACCCAGTTCTTGTCACTACATGTTCACCCTTTCAGTCACCAATTCTTGAGTCAGGTTTTCGTGGCTCAGGAGAGACTTAGGAGACGAACTTTTCTACAAAGAAGAAGCAGGCAGAGGACATGGGGAGGGTCTGTCCCAGGAAGGAACCACAGGATCCTGTTCAGTTACAATAGAACGGAAATATTTGCTGCTAACGATGACAGCGGCTACCATTTTTTGAGTAAGCTCCCACTGCCAACTTCTCTGATGAGGATTTAACACGCAAGACTTCACTTAAGCCTTACAATAGCTCTATGACATGCTTCTATTATTCCTTCCATTTTACCCACCAGGAAACCAAGGCTCAGAAATGTAAAGCCATTTGCTGGAGGTCCTGTAGCCAGTTCTTACTGGCGCAGGATTTTGAAATGAGGTCATATTCCAGGTTCAAGGTCTGCTAGTGCTGCCTCTGGTAAGGTTTCTCTAAGAAGCCATTTGCCTCCTAGAAGGACTGGCAAAGGGTTACTAAATATATTTTAAATTAAATACTGTTAAAAGTCCCTCATCCCCTATAAAACTCTCCCCACCCCAAGCAGGATGGATGAAATGGACAGAGAATACAGAAAAACGGCTACACGAATAAGAAGAAAGTTTACCATCCTAGTTATTAAAGAGATACAATTAAAATTATAACCGTGTATTGCTTTTCGTTTCAGATTTTTAAAGACAAGAAGAAGGAGAAGAAGAAGAAAAAGAAGGATGGTTACATGAAAAGCTAGGGGCATAATTTCTTTAATTTACTACTAACTTCTTTCATCACGTCCAGAAGATGGACTTAACAGGTGTTAAGCTGTTTATTATAACAAGCAATAAATCCTTTTATGATAATTGAAAGACAAGTCAAGTGCAAAACAGGAAAGGGCCCAAACGGAAGGCAGAAGCGACCCCGCTGTGCCGGCGGCTCTGGCCCAGAGGCCGGCTCCGCTCCCTTCTTGGAGCTCAGCAGGAGGTCCGGCCGGTGGGTGCGCCCGAGGATGCGGGGAGCACTGTGGGGACCACAAGTCCCAGGCGCCCGCGCGCGCGCCTCGCCCGGACCACGTGACCGCGCAGCCCCGGTCGCGATCGCGGCGGCTGTCCGGGCTCTGAGCCCCAGTCCCGAGCGAGCAGACGCGGCCCCGGCGCCCGGCCGCCCAGCACGCTCACCATGGCGGTGAGTCTGGGCGCCTCCTGGAGGAGCGGACGCGGGGTGGGCGCTGGGACCCCCGAGCAGGCGACCCCGGGCATCCCGCGGTGCCCGCCGCCCCTGGCAGAGGGCCGGTGAGGGGGTGTGCTGGCAGCAGTGTCAACATCGGGAACTGGAGAGCTGGCCGGGGCTTTGGGGTTTTCTTTCTATTTGTTCCTCCTGCTGGGAGTCAGTCCGGCATGACTAGCAGTCACTACGCCCTGGTGTGGCGCGGATGAGGGTCGGGGTGCGCTGCGTGAAGACAGTCGGGGGGTGGGGGTTCCCCCTGCTCTGGGCGCGGTGACTTGGAGGAGATTGCGGGGAGGCGCCCATGAGGAGGGAATTCTCGGAGCATTTCAGCCGGCGTCTGGGCGCGCGTACACACCCCCGGGGCGGTTCCCTGCCTTCTCAAGTTCGAGATCTGATTCTTTTGGGGAAAAAACAAACAAACAAACAGACCTTGCCACTTTCCATCCTCTTACACTTGGGTTAGAAATAGCGTTTCAGAGAAACTAGTTTTCTTGGTAGAGTTCACCTGGGCTGGAGAGAATGACAGCTTGCAAAACTCTTCAGTCTATGAATAAATCATGTACACAGTTTTCTTCCTCCAGGAAGAATGTCATAGAATTGAAGATTCAGGAAGCCAACGCAGGTCATTTAGTCAAACGCACACACCCAACTCCCGACGGCCCTCTAAAAGGGGAAACAGATGGGAAGGGTTTATATGAAAAGTTCCCCAGCCAGGCAGTGGCAGGACTGGGACCTTAATCTGCCCCTCAACTCTTTGGTTTATAAATGAGGGCGCTTTTCTGGAAGTGTTTGTTGTCGCTGTTCAGTTGCTATGTAGTGAGTGTCGGACTCTTTTGCGAGGCAATGGACGGTGGTTTTTCAGGCTCCTCTTTCCTTGGGATTCTCAAAGTGTGAGTAACTCCAAATGAGAAAATAAAGAAGAAACAAGTCCCGTGATTGCTGTCTTCCCCATAGTCCCTCCCCGCAGGGTGGGGCCCTGAACCAGACTGATAATTTAGCTACCAGAGGCCCTGGTTTATCCTAAGCTGTGAAACTGGATGAGAGGCCCGCCCCTCGAGTGTCTGACCACGGGGCTCTTTAACTGAAAACTGCAGCTCCAAGTCAGGGTGTGCTGATTTGAATCTTTTCCTCCTGTGAAGAGGCAAGAGAGGTGAGTCTTTGCCCCTCCTTCGGGCCCCTCACCCCCCAGGCAGGTGGATGCTCTGTAGGGACACGTGCAGCCTGGAAAACCTGCACTGTCCGTCTTCCCTCGGCTGCTTCCTGCTTCAGAAGACGTCCTAGCCACCCGCCTCCCTGGCTGGGTTGGATGTCTTCCAGGGATCTTCGTCCCCAGTACCCCGAGCTGCACGCCCCCCCGCCCCCGCCAAGCTCATGCCTCCCCCTTGCTGAATACATACACCCCTTTGTCCTATTTGCTCACTCCCTCTCCCCAACAGACATTTGCTCCTTGGGGGCCAAGCACTTCTCTCATTTGTCTATCTCCAGCACCTGCACCCCTAGCACAGCTTTCGGGGGTGTTCCGAATTACTGTGAAAACTGTTTGGGGTCCCTGAGATAGCTGACCCAAGCCTAAGGATGACAGAGGAACCCAGTTATGGAACCTGTCTGATTAATTAGCCACAGGGACATTCCAGTCATGCCAACTGCTTTGTCAAATGAACTCGGAGTAGGGGTCAAGGCGCCAAACCTCACTCCACCTGCAGAGATGGTGCTGTAGGCTTCTGAAATTCCTTGAGTACAATTCCAGTGTAAATGCAGTTTCACAGGATTACTTGTACCTTTTGCTTTTGCATATCACTTTTTTGTGAACATTTTGCCACCTCAACTGATACTCTTTTTGAAATCGTGACACAGGGTATCTCTGGGTAGTAGGACTCAAAATAATTTTTTACTTTCTTTTTGGTACTGTTTCAGCTTTTGCTGTTGAGCAAGTATCACTTTCATATTAGGGAGATGAAAGCTATCTTTATTTTTAAATTATTCAACATGATTTTTAAAAGACTGTCTAGGTTTCAGTTTTCATCTTACAAGATCTTGGACAAATCCTTTCCCCTTTTGGAACTTCTTTTACCTATCTGCAAATGAGAAGTGGTTAGAAGGGGACTAGAATTGGACCAGATCAATGTTTTTCACATTGAATTTCAGCAGAGCTCAGACCTCTCTCCCCTCTTTATCTGTGTTTTATATCGTGGAGTTACAAGGAAGATTTTATTTGTCAGTGTTCTGTGGGGAAAAAAGGTGAAAACCAAGGGAGTAAAAATTCTCTGAGAAAATGTTCTGGAGATATAATAGCATGGTGACTAGTTAATAATACTGTACTGTAGATGTAAAGGTTGCTAAGAGTAGATCTTTAAAGTTCTTATCACAAGAAAGAAACATTGTAATTGTCATGATGGATGTTAACTAGACTTCTTGTAATGACCATTTTGCAATATACACATATTGGAATCATGTTGTACACCTGAAACCAATACATTATTTGTCAATTACGTCTCAATTTAAAAAAAAATTTCTGAGGACACTCTGGCATTTGAAGATTCTAATATTTGGCCATTGTCTTTGAAGGCGAAGTCTTCCACCAACTGATCCCAACTCGGCCAGGATCTAGTTAGCTATAGTTGGGCACTGACAGTGCTTCTGCTGGTTGAGGTCTTACCTGGTGACAAGAGGGAAACATCCCTTCCTTGAGAGTGTGAACTGATTGATTTCTCTGGCTTTAATCTTGCCAAACAGTCATTAAGCCTGATGCAGTCATTTAGAATCCCCATTCAGTTCCCATCTTGTCCTCTTCTCTTGGTCACTGAGAGGCAGCATACACGGGTGGGGCTTTGGCATCTAACTAGACTCGGGTTTGAATCCCAGTTCTGCCAACTTATTAATACTAGCTTTGTGACCTTCAGCAAATTACTTTTCAGAGCCCAGTTCCCTGTTTTCTTTCTCATACAATGGACCTAATTGGTCCTGCCACACGGAAGATTGCGGTGAAGTGAGATATGCAAAGCTCTTGATGCCACCCAGAATGCAGGGTGGACCAGCTGCTCTTTGAGAAGAGCCTTCAGACAGGTGCTACATGCTCTTTGCTTCTACCTTCATTCTTTCCATAAGTCCGTGAGCTCATCAAGGGCAGACATATTAACCTGTCTCCATAATGCTGGGCGCAGGATTAGGTTCAGCAACTGTTTAGTGAATTTTGGGTGAACAGGTGTGCAGTACCCACTGAAGACAGCTGCCCCTGGGCTCATCCATGATAAACACTGCAGAATGGCCGGGCCCTGGGGATGAGAAGAGGCAGTCACTCCTCAGCCTAGCACGTCCTCATTGGCTTTCAAGGGCACAGAGGAGTCATCTCAGCATGACCGGGAGCACTGTGACTGGTTGGTTCAGTGAGGCTGGGCACCCCCAAGCACCTTCCTTCTACCGGGAACTGTGCTTGCTCAGTCGCTCAGTCGTGTCTGACTCTTTGTGACCCTGTGGACTGTGGCCCGCCAGGCTCCTCTGTCCGTGGGGATTCTCCAAGCAGGAATGCTGGAGTGGGTTGCCATGCCCTCCTCCAGGGGATCTTCTCAACCCAGGGATCGAACCCGGGCCCCCCGCATTGCAGGCAGATTCTTTACCCTCTGAGTCACCAGGGAAGCCCCGACCTGGAGCAGGCCAGCTCAGTTCTGGCTCTGCTGCTCACCCTCTGTGGGAGCCTGGGCCATCCCCTGCCCTATCTGGCTTCAGTTGGCTATGATGGCTTCTAATGGCCTTTCCAGCACTTAAGTCCAGTGACCTTGTTTTCCTGGGCCTTTGGAAGAGGTTGCTGGGGAGCGATCGGGAACATGATTTCCACTGCCCTAAGTCCCCTCTGATGCGGTCCCTTCTCTTTCAGATGCATTTCATCTTCTCAGATGAGGTAGTGCTTCTCTTTGATTTCTGGAGCGTCCACAGTCCTACAGGTAAGAATTGGGAAGCCCAGACTTGTAGATTGAGAAGACTTGTACCTCCAGGCAGTGGGAACCCAGGTTCTCATTATTGTTATGCTCTGTGGACATTTTAGGGAGCCTGACTCTTCTTGCATAAATACTGAGTGGTAACATTGCATTTATAATTCCATTTGGAATCTCTGCCCTTCAGACTGCAAAGGGCTCTTTGTGAGGCCCAGAGAGGGTACAGCTTCCCCCTCTGTTACAGGGGAAGGAACTGACACCCAGAGAGGGGGAAAGACTTGTCCAGGGACACATGGTGTGCATCAGAGCCAGAACTAGATCAAGTCCTCTTGTTGCCTCCTAGCACCTCCTTCATACAAGGTTCACTGTCCAGCATAAGCTCAGAAGCCCAGAGTAGCTGCTGCAGCCTTTGACCTCAAATGAGACATAAATTTGAAAGAGATGAGTATTCCTTTGACTTGAAAAGGCAGAGTCCAGCACTAATTCATGATGGAGTTGTGTTTCCACTTAAGTACTTACATGTTAAAAATAGACTGCTGAGACCAGAGCATTCACTCCAGGGATCCAGCTGTCTCTGTGAGGAGTCCAAGTCTCCCATCTGCCCATTCTCTCTGATCCTTCTCTCTCTCTCCAGCTCTTTAATACTTTCTCCCCCTATATGTGTTAGACCTGACTCACATTTGTTTTCTTCAGCCTTTCACCATTTTTAATTTCTGGGCTTATAATCTCTGCTGGCAACCTATGGATGGAGATTGCCTTGATCACAATATACCTACCTAAAACCTGGGAACAGACTATGAAAGGCATTGTAACATAATAGAAGGAACAAAGAAACAGAGCAGGATGTGTTGTTTCCTAGTTGAGTAGCTTTATTTAGTTACGAAGTCTGTTATTATCTCTGTTAATAGAAATAATACATGTTTCTCAAAAAGTTACTTTGAAATAGGACATGTGATTTTGTTAACTCTAGCTTGGTAGGCAGATTGTAAAATAAAAGTGCTAAAAGGACTGTTCTTAGATCAACAGTGATAGTGGCAAAGGCAAGGATTATGAATAATCCAATTCTATAGAGCTCAGGTCCATATAAAACAATTTAAATGGCTGAAGACGACAAAATTCTGTAAAGCAATTGTCCTTCAATTAAAAAATAAATGAATTTAAATGAATAAATAAAAATATAACAATTTAAAAATTGCTGTGTTTTGGAAGTGTCAATTCTTAGTTCTCAATTTATTCATTCAATTAAGTTGTGTTGAGTACCATCAAAAAATAAAATAAAATGAATAAAGATAGACTGGAAGAAGCCCAAACGCCCACCACTGCAGGTATTGATCAAAATTGATGCTGGTTGTTAGCTAGGACCTCAGCAGGGGTTGTTGGCTGAGGTCTTTGTGGCAGGGTGGCTAGGTTCCCAGAGTGAGTGTTCCAAGAGAAAAAGGTAGGGGAAAATAGAGAGAAGAAGTTTTAAAAAAAAAAGCCTAGTTTTTAAGACCTAGCTTTGGAAGTAAGCATCATTTCCACCTTTATTGGCTGAGGCAGTCACAGAGCTCTTCTGGGACCAAAGGGGAGGGAACAGATCCCACCACTTGATGGCGGGAGTGCTGACACTGTAAGAGCATGTGGGGTGGGACAGCGAGGTGGCCATCCCTGGAGAATCGAATCTCTCACAGACATTATGAAGCCACGGAAATAAGGTAGATCTGCGTAACTAGAGGGAACCCACACACCATGTACTGAGGACGCACAGTGCTGCCACAGGGGTGCAGCTGGGGCGGTGGGCCGGTGGGCATGCTCCCCGCCACCCCCCAGCTTTGCCAGGTGGCTTTTCCTGCTGAGCTCAAAGCCACACTCCAGCAGGCCACTCCCACCAACAATGGGCTGGAAGGGGAAAGAGACAGGAGTTCCAAGCCCAGCAAGAGTGGGGAAGAAGATGCGAGAGGAAGGGAGGAGGAATGGATTCAGAGGGAGGGTGGGCGGTGCCCTGCCCCGCTTGTGCCAAGTCCCCAGTGAAGCTGCCGGAAGGGGAGCAGTGTTTGCCTGGCTGGGCTGTGTAACTCAGTCTCCTTCGACAGGCATGGCCCTTTCGGTGTTGGTCATCCTGCTTCTGGCAGTGTTGTATGAAAGCATCAAGGTTGGCAAAGCCAGGCTGCTCCACCAGGCCCTGATGAACCTGTCCATCCCCACCAGCCAGCAGCTTATTGAAGAGGCAGATCAGGATTCTTCAAGCTCAGACTCCCTGCCTGTCAGCAGAAGCCCTCTCAGGTAACGGACATGGGGTGGGGGTGGGGGAATGGGCAGAGTCCTCACATTCACCTTGAGAGGTAGGCTGGACCTGCAGGACACTTAGCCCCACTTCATCCAAGGGAAACTGAGGCCCAGGGGTGGACCAGGACTTGCCCAAGTGCTTCCAGTTAGTTAGCTGTGACGTGGACTACAGCCAGGTCTCCTGATGCCCAGGCTAGAGCTCTCTGAACAGCCACAAGGGAGGCTCCAATCTTTCTGACTCCGGTGCAAGCCTCAGTCCAGCAACAAGGGGGTCTATTCAGCCCACCCCCAAACCTCAGCGGGTTTTCTTAGGTCACTAAGGCTTCCAAACGCAAGATGGTACCTGCGGCTCTTCCTATACAAATGATAAAAATTGTTGTCAGCAGTGTACCAGCTTGATAGAGGGCAACCTCTTGCTCCTTCCTCCCCCCCCCCATTCTGATAGCCACTGGGGATCCCCATTCTGCCCTCTCCGCAGCTCTGGCTGTGTTGTGTCTGTCTGCTCCTTAGGTTGGGACCTGAACAGTCACAAACCTGCTGCAAGGGAGGTGTTTTCATACTGGCCTTACTAATACATGTTTTACTGATGAGGACATTTCAGTTCAGAGAGGTTAAGACGCTTGCGCTGAGCCATAGTTAGTACGTGGCAGAGCCAGAAATCAATCTGTTACCAGGGTCCATGCTCTTTCCATTGTAATACTTGCTTTCACAGCTCACAGTTGATTCAGGGGGAAAAAAAGTCTGCCTTACTGATGATTTTGTATTATCCTTTGTCAGATGTGATTGATCACATATCTCATTTTCCCCTTTGCCCTGGGTACCGGGAAGCTCAGAGCTCAATGTAGTGGAGAAATGATTATCCCAAACTCCTTGTACAAGTCCCTCTTCCCTTCTCTATCACTGGTTTCTGACATGTCTCTTTAAAAATAAATCTCTCCTGGCTGAAGCATACGAATTATAAATAGGCTAGTCCTGTAACTCGGTTGCTCTTCCCACTCCCTGACACCAGCTCCTAGCTTCCAGCTCACTGCCGGCATTAACCCGGCGTTCCTGTTCATCTAGGTGGTTTCTGTGTCACTTCGGCCAGTCTCTGCTCCATGTTGCTCAGGTGGTCGTTGGCTACTTCATGATGCTGGCGGTTATGTCCTACAACACCTGGATTTTCTTCGGCGTGGTCCTGGGCTCAGGTGTGGGCTACTACCTAGCCTACCCACTTCTCAGCATGACGTAGCTGGTTGAGGGTGAGGGCTCTGGGGGCTGGAAAGACCTGGGGCCTCGTTCCAGACCTTGAACTGCCCGCCCCACGTCTCCTGTTTCTTCTTCTGGCTGTTCTCAAGGCATTGCCAGCTCCTGGACACTTTCAGCTGAAGCCAGCACTTGCTCCCTGGAGTCCTGAGGCCACTGCCGCTCCTCAGCCAGGCTACAGAGGGCCCTGGCGGTCTTTCTGTGCCTTTAAGAAGGCCGCTGTGACGGGAGGGAGGGTGGAGACCAGAACCTGGCGGCAGACCTCATAACCATGGCAGCATTTGCTGGGACCCCTTTCCCTCCCTTGGGGGAAGAGTGAGTGACAGCTGACTAAAGGCAAAGAAGCAGGATGTTACCAGGGCTGTGACCCACCCTCCGAATACCGTGAGCTCCTCCCACGGGATGGCACTGCCTACCAGAAGGTGATAGTTAGTTACATGGCTTTAGGTGTCGGGGAGCTCTTCATGGCCTTAATCTTAGCCTGATCCTCCTCCTAATGCAAAACCAAGAATTCACTGAGTAACATTCAATACTAATGTTTTCTATTTATTACTTACTGCTCACCCATAGTGATCTGGTGGGGAAACATGCTTCGTTCAAATACTGAGTAAGCCATAGGGCGTATCGACTGAAGATGTAATAAGCCATCAAGCCAAAGCCTTACATGAGTAGAGTTAGGTGGGGGGTTCTTCAGATATTGAACCTTTTCGCTTTAAAGAAAAGGAAAGAATAGACCCAGGGAGAGAAAATCACTGCTGTCTACTGTAATGTCTATACTCAAGTACCTCATGGGCTAGAGGAAAGATGGTCTGAAGCTTCGAGAATTAAAAAAGAAATTATTTTAATAAATATATATTTTTAAATAGTCTGTGACTGTCTTTTGTTTCTCCTCTTTCAAACAGCAAGCTCACGGAACCCTGAAAGCAACTGCAGGGGCTGAGTAGGGCTGTCCAAGGCCTGAGTCTGTCTGTCTCCCATGAAGACAACTCTGTGCTCCGCAAAACCCAGCCCTGAAACGCTGTTCCCCTCAGCAGACACCCTCAATGCCAGCCTAGTCAACAAGTCATTCTTCTGTTTACATAACAAATAATGATGGTGAACCTGCCATAAGAAAAAGAACTGTCACATGGACTATAAACGCCCATGTCGGCACTGTTATTAGCACCTTCTCTCCCTGAGGGCAGAAGCAAAAATATATCAAAGCCGCTTTTTAAAATTTACAGTAAGAAAGAGCTGAAACAGAAAGTATAGTATGTGACGCCTTCAGTACTGATCGGTGTATTCTCCCCACATAAGCAGGGAGCTGGGAAGCTGCTCAGTGTCACAACAGGTGTTAAGATTTGTAGTCTTGTAGTTGGACGGTCAGGCATCCACTTCTGTGTCCAGCTAAGGTCCCTCCTCTGCCCTGAGGCACCGCTGAGATAATCTCCATAGGTGGCCAGCAGCCTCTTTAGTTTGATGGTTTCTTTAAATACATTTGAGGCTTTCACAGCATGGAGGGCTTTTAAAAAATCTACTGTCTACAGAAATGGATTATAGGGCCATGTTAAGTAGGCATTTCAACTGTATTCAGAGCCAACTCTCAAAAGGTGGTATTTTCTCTGCTTGAATTTTTGTTTTTAACAAACACCTATATAAAACTTATTATGTGCCAGACAGGCAGTGTTCTAAGCACTTTACAGTATTAACTCATTTAATTCCCACAATAAAGTAGAAAGTATTTCTGTCCTTGTCTTAGAGATGAGGACACTAAGGCAGCTAAGTACAGTCACCCAGCTAATAAGTGGTCAGGCTCCCTGGCCTGGAGTCTGCTCATCAACTCAGATGAGGGTTGTGGCTAAGAGAGTAACTGGCTTCGGCCACATGGCATCCAGTGGAACAAGGGTGTGAATGCAGACAGTGGAGACTGAAAAGTCTATGCTGTGTGTATTTCACCCTAACAGGATGGAAAATTCTGTTTCAGGGGACCTGGGGTGGGGCCCAGGAGCCTATATTTCTGACATACAACACTGCCCTCCTCCCTCAACCCAAGACAGAGGCTGCTGGGCTGGCCGAGAGGCCTGGCCCCAGAATCCCATGGCCAGGATTTGCATCCCTGTTCTGTTACTAGCTGTGTAATGTTAGACGGGTGACTTTACCTCTCTAAGCCTCAATGTCCTCTATAAAAGGATAAATATCTTCTGTGAGGGCCGCTGGAGATGAGACAGTCTGGGTAAAGTCCCCCACAATAGCGCCTACTTGTTAAACAACAGAGTTTAGTAAATGGTAGTTCTTACTGCCTCCCAGGCCCACAAACGGAAAACAGGCTCAAAGCTATCATCAAAAAGGATACATCTGATTGTCAGGTGAGATGGAATGGAACCTGGGTTCCTATCTTATAAACATTTTAAATCAGGGAACATTTTTATTAAAGTTATTCTACTTTTTAAAGACTGCCTACAGGGTCTTTGGAAAATGCTGGAATAAGTAAAATGACCATGAGTATTTTCTCACTACTATTCCCTGCATTAGTCCTGGACCTGAAATCAGGGGAAACGGAAGCCACTCTTCACGTGAAGACTCAGTCTCTCAGGGGCCATCCATGATGGATGACGACAGGACACAGGGACCCTCCCCATCTTCTCTGCCTGGCTTCCTAGGGTGTGGGACCTGCAGGAGCCCATGGACGACAGGACTGGTCCTAACCCTGCTGCCCTGAGCCCGAAAGTAGCCGGGATGCTGGGAGAGCAGAGTGGTGACTTTCTCGGAAAGCCTCACAGTTCAGGGTTAAGTACCAAAGGAAACATGTCACAGTGTTCTCAAGCATGTTAAACAACCCAGATCTGTTACAACCCCTACCCTCACGTTCCCAGAGAGCATAGACTGCTCTCGGAACCAGATTCGATTTCACCCCCAAAGCCTGAGTCAGGTTTCATTGCAGACATTTATTTTAGTTTTGTTAATTTCAAATATTGATTGACCTCTTATATCAGATTTAAGGCAGAGAAAAGATATACGTCCCAGTACTGCCAGCAAGGCTGTTACCTGGGTTTAGATGGGGTACTTTGCCCTCCACCAGTTCTACCAGGGAGACCTCACCGCAGGTGACAGTGCCGATGCTGGGACACAGCTGAGCACTGAGAGGCAGGCCGGTCTGGGAGTTCAGAGAATAAAAAGCTTGGGAGAGGGCACGACTCTCATAGGGACTCGCTGGAGGGGAGCCCCCCAGCCCTTTCTCCACGGGGGACTCTGAGGCAGGACCAGGGCGGGCTGCTGCCAACCGCAGTGTTCTGAAGACAGGTTCACACGCTGCTTCACCTGGTCAGGCGGGGGCTCGGAGGTTGGCTAGCTCAGGTATCTGAACTACTGTCCTCAGCATGCTCACCTTCACCTCACCCCGTGGCTCGTCTAAAGCCAGTGCTGGCTGTGCAAAATCATGCCTAGGGAAGGGTAGAGGAACCTCTGCACCGGTTTCCTGGGTCTTCATCCCAGCCAGTCAATGTCATCATCATCGTCATCATCTCCAAAAAGGGGTGTTGGGGGCGGGCGGCCCTTCATGCTCTGACAAGACAGGAAAGAGTAGTCAGTCCTCACTTGTCCCTGCACCAGATGGACTTCCCGCCAGTGCAAGATGAAGCGATCAGCATCTTTCCTGGCTCCAGGTTGGAAAGGAGACTGCTGGTTAGGGTTTAACTGAAGGGATGAACCCTGAGGCCAGCAAACCCCAGGCTTCCAGAAAAGCTGAGACAAGCAGTCAGAGAAGGGAGGCAATCTTTCAACACGAAAACAAGAAGACCAACTTTGTTTGTCTCGTTTCGTCATTTATTTGAGAAACACGTGTATTGATTGGACAGGTTTTCTTGCATGTGGTAACATACATTTCGTGTGGGAAGAGAAAGGGGGAGCAGGATAAGGAGGCAGAGAAGCAGACCGGCCCTCAGGGCAGAGAACACAGGAAGAAGGAAGCTGGGGAGAATACAGTCACATCTGAAAAAACACTGCTGTGGCCTGCGGCAGCCTGTCTAGCTCTGGACGTGGGCTCACCATTTGAGAGAGAGCCGAATTTAAAGTCTTGGCCACCCTACCAAGTGGAGAATCCCAAGATGAAGAAAACCCAGGGACGCAGGCTCATATCCTGGTCTTGCTGGCACCTCCCTCCCTCCCTCCCACCAGGCAGGAGGATAAGGGGGATTAACGAGTCAGAGAAAACTCTCCCCGCTTTTCGTGACTTGAGCCTCTGGCATTTTCCCTCTAGACTGGCAGGGAGAATCCTATGGGTTGCTGGGACTGATGCTAGAGATAGGCACTCCCAAGTGTTCTCTACTAAGTAAGGTACCCTCTGCTCTGGTGAACTACTCTGGCCCAGGATCGGACTTCCCAGGGCCAGCCAAAGGAAGGCGGTGTGATGTGCTCAGAAGTCCCTGAGCTAATTCCATCTTCACCACCAACTAACAGACCTCGAACCTCTCTGTGGGCATCAGTGAAGTGATCTCTAAATTCTGATGGTGTGGGATCTTAAAATGTGGCTCACTGCTTCTGTTTTGTTCCAGCTGAGGTTCTGGTATGCATCTACCAGCTATGTAACCTTGGATCAGCTGTTTGATCTTCCAGAGCCGTGGCCTTCTTTCTACGAAATGGAATAAAAGTGCCTACACTTCACTGAACTGGCAGAAGATTAAATGTCTATAGTTTTCAGAGTACCCAAAAAAAGACATTAACTTGATGATATTAGTATTAACACCAATAATGTTCTGCTAAAGTCAGAAAACTCCATCCATATATAGGGCAGTCACTTGAGATACTCAATTGGCTTTTTGTTCATTTTCAGAACTCTCAAATGAAAATGTAATTCTTGGGAAGAAAGGCCAATGGAGGAGCCAGTGCGCTTTCCCAGGGAGCATAGGCAAGAGAGAAGGGTTCTGGTGCACGGGAGCCAGATCCCAGCTCTGCTACAGCCATTTTCCCAAGGTCTTGCCAAAAGGCAAAATCCATTTTGGTGGATACAAAAGGGGAGAAAATCTGCCCCCCTTCACCTCATATTTCTGTTCCTGGAATGGACTGAGTCTGAATCTGGTCTGTGTTCTCCACCCACATTTTACCCTAGTGAAATTATCCCAACAGTCAAACATCCTAGGGAGGGCCAAGAATGCTTGTAACTTAGCACAATGGGGCCCACGAATGCAAGAAACGGGGTTCTGATCCAGGCTTAATCAGCAGATCACCTTTCTGGCCTTAACTCTGGAGTTCGGTAAAGTGAGGCAACCCTACCAGTTGTTGTTGCTGTTGTTTTACTTGCTAAGTTGTGTCTTACTCTTTGTGACCCCATTGACTGTGGTCTGCCAGGGATTTCCCAGGCAAGAACACTGCAGTGGGTTGCCATTTCCTACTCCAGGTGATCTTCCCAACCCAGGGATCGAACCCGTGTCCCCCATGTCTCCTGTATTGGCAGGCGGATTCTTTATCACTGAGCCACCAGAGAAGCCCTACACTATCGTACTTAACCCATTCTCCGCCCAGGGATACGGTGATAACAGAACAAGGCAGCAGGTCGGAAAGCAGGCTGATGAAGCAGAAAATGCTCAGAAACAGGTGGTCTGAGTAGAAGCCTGGGGTTTGAGTCCTAGCTGTACAATTAACTCACTCTGTGGCTTTAGGTAAATCATCCTTCTGAACCACAGTCTGTCTATGAATGCAGATGCCAGACAAGGAGATCTTCACAGTCCTTTCCAATTCTAAAATAAAACACCTTAGCCGAGTTGAGGTCCAGAAACCTGAGGCTTTAGCACTCTAATATGGGACTAAGCAGCCCAACTGTCTTCAAGTAGAAATTACTGCCGCATGAGTAGAGACCATGATCCTTCTTCAAGAATAAAGTGCTATCTGCCCATCCCCACCAGGCTCACAGAGTCGCTCCCTCCCAGCCCCAAGCCTGCTCGCACAGGGCCCTGAACACAGAGCCCAGGGCGGGGGCCACCAGCAGACCCCCCTCCTCTTCTTGCAGCCAGCAGGGAGGGGCCCCCAGGGGGCGGCGGCGTGAGGACTTGGCAGGGCCTGGGAGTTCCTTACCACTTCGTCTTCATCCTCCTCCTCAGCCTGTGCTTTGGGCTTCGGAACTTTCAGAGCTGCCCCTTTAAACAGTTCATCCTCTTCATCCTCAGAGAGGCTGAAAGAAAAATCAGGAAAATCAAGTCATAGGAAAATGTTTCTGCCCCAGGCCACAATGCCCACAGGCTCTGGGCTAAATATCCAACAGCTGCGGTGACTGCCCAGGAATCCCCCGCTTCTCCACACTCACCCCCAGCACTCTCGACTCCCTCCATAACCTACAGCCAGAGCAATCCTTTAAAGCCAGTAAATCAGTCACGTCTCTCCTGTGCTTAAATCCCCTTAACAGCTTCTCACTGCACTTAAAGTCCAAACTTCTAACAGTGGCAGCAAAATCTCACATGACTTGGCTCCTACCAAGTTTTCCAACCTTGGCACACCACCACTCTTCTCCCACCCACTGTGCCTTCTTCCTTGACTGTGTCACGTCCCTCCTACCGCAGGGCCTTGCCTGTGCTGTTCTTGCTTTCTGCAAACGCTCCTGCCCACTCTCAGCAGAGAAGGCTCCTGTCCATCCTTCAGGTCTCAGTTTAAATGTCACCTTCTCGGAATCCTTCCCTAGTCACCCTACCTAAAGTAGAATAAGTCCCCCTTTATTGTCTATTATAACCCTGATTCTTTCTTTGTTTAGAAAGCATTTAACATGCATTTATAACACACAGTTGACTCCTGAAGAATACAGGTTTGAACCATTCAGGCCCACTGATACATAGGCTTTTTTCAATAAACACGATTTGCAGTTGGGTGAGTATGGAGATGTTCAGTTGCTAAGACGTGTCTGACATTTTGCGACCCCATTTGAATCTGGAAATGAGCCAACTGTAAAGATACACACACAGGGTCAGCGCCCTTAACTCCTGTGTTGTTCAAGGTCAACTGTATAAGCATTTGTTTGTCTTCCCTAATAGACTGTAAGCTCTTCAAGTCAAAAACCAACTCCACCTTGCCTCCCACACTCCCACAGAGCTATTACATGGTAGGTACTGAATAAATACATGAATGAATGAGTGATTCAGCCAGCCAGCCAGTCTCTGAGGATGAATCACCCATCCTGGGAAAACTGGACACAACTTCCACAGGCAGCCGCCCTGCTCCTGAAACTGCTCAGGGGACACACCTGGGATGCTGAGAACCGTGTTTAGGTCCAGGTGCTGCTCCTACGGAGGCCGAAGCTGCCTCTGTGCTACACGGTTCCTGGGAGGGAGCAGCCGAGCCTGTGACATCCCTGTCTTCCTGGAGCTCTGGAGGCTGAGGCTCTCCTCCTGGACTTTCAGGCCTCACGGCCAGTGGGTCCACCTTCTCGGGGTCTGAGGTCGGGGACAGTCTCGGGGAGCTTTCCTCCTCCCTGACATGGGCGTCTCCCAGTGCTTCCTCGCCCT